GTTGTCTTCTTGCTGGTCCGAAGTCACTCGCTCTTGCTTGGGCACGGTCACTTCAGCCGGGGCACTGGCTGCAGCACGGATGGGCGTGCTTTGGGCAGGTGGAGCCGAGGAAACATCTGCTTGCAAGCGGGTCTGTGGTTTAGCCGGGCTTGTTGGCAATGGCTTCTTGGCTTTCTTTGGCGGGGGAACCACAGTCTTGGAACTAGACGAGGTGGAGCTCCTTTCTCCCTGTACTGCTGAGGAGCTGGCGGGGGTATCCCCGGCAGTTGTCCTCTAGCCTCCTCGGAGGCAAGCTGCACCTCGTGTTGCCACAGCAACGCCTTCACTTGTGCTGGGCTGAGGCCTTGTTTCCCGAAAAGGATACAAATGGAAGCGGTCGCAACGTGCTTGCAATGGCTGCTGCTGCTGCTGCCTCGAAGGCACCTGTTGCACACGGCTTCAGAGCTTCCGCTCTGTGCTGCAGGTTGGAGAGGTGTTCTCGGTCTTGTTGGTCTGATTGCCAGCCTCTGCCACCGCCTTCTCGAAGGTCTTCTGCTTAAGGTACGTTCGCACCTCTGCTGGGTCGGTGCTGGTACAGCCATGCAGGATGCAGCTTGGGTCGCCTCGAGCACATCTGAGACATTCACCGCTGTGAGCTTTGTGCGATTTTGGGGTGTCCCCTGTCTGCGCCATAGTTCCAAGAACATTTTGATCTGCCCGTGCTCGCTGGAGTGTCACGGACAGGTACTCGTCGGAGAAGTTCACCCAGCGTTGTGGAAGGGCAGAAACTCGCCAAACCGGGACTCAGTGAGTAGGGTCGCCGAAAGCTGTCACGAGGTTGGCGGCTTAGTGCCCCTAGAACCGCAAGTGGGCTGCCGATCCCCTGCAGGGACAAACGCTACTATGTCGCGGTCCTCGGCGTGCAGCTGGAAGTACGCGGACTAGCCAATGAGGTGCTCCCCGCTCGTGGCTCTAAGGGCGGAGCAGGCAAGACAAGGGAGAGACGCCCCGTGTTTAGACCTGCCACCCCCAAGGGAGAAAGGTTGAGATGAAGCGGACTAGCCCCGGGCTGAGGTGAGTGACAAGGTCTTGAGTATTCGCTGCTTGAGCTAAAATGGGTCTTGCTTGCTTGCTTATAGGGGGTAAGGCACGGTTAAGGGTTGCACGTAACCCCTTGACCCGAAGGCCTACCCCCTCGGATCCATTGTCGGCTTCGCCCCTTCCGGGGTTGGAAGAAGGCACGTGTTCCTCCAAATGTGCTGGTATTCCCAATCCCCCCAAAAACACCCTCCTAAACCGTGACCATAGTAAACCTTCCAGCGCCATTCGGGTCATCCACGGTCTCCCCAGACACAACTTGCTTGCTTGCTTGCTTGCGAAGGGGTTTAGGGCCCCAAGGGACCCTTGGCCCGAAGGCCTACCCCCCCAAGGTTCGCGGCGGTCAGACACAACTCTCTCTCTCTCTCTCTCTCTCTCTCTCTCTCTCTCTCTCTCTCTCCCGGGCATGGGGGACGATCAAATCCCCCGGGCTTCAAGCCCACCCGATAGTCTTCATCGGGTATTGGAGGAGTGAATAACGAATTTAGTACACCCAGAGGCTAAAGCCATAAAATATACGATATCGGAGAAAGGGTGTACGTACATTCTCCAAAACATTTGGTCAAAGGCAAATTTAATCCCGGCACGACTGAGAAAAAGGAGGTGTCTCTCCCTCTCTCTCATTTTTGCTTGCTTGCTAAGGGGTGTGGGTCTCCAGGCAGACCCTGGCCCCAAGGCCTACCCCTGCGAGGGTTCGCGACTGTCGGTCTTCAAGGCCATCTTTCGGGGTTCAGCGATGCCCATGTTCCCCCAAATGTGCCTGTCGACCCCTCCCACCAAAAAGCAACACGTGACCTAAGACCATCACCGTGTAAACCGGTCATCCCTGTCGCTCCTCGCTCGCTCGCTCGCTCGCTTCAGGGGTAAGGTCCACAGGACCCGGGCCTAGGCCCCCCTTTCTTCACACGATTGTGGAAGAGGGGCATTGGGGTCATCGTAGCCGGAGAATCCCCCGTGGATTGTGTGAGTTGTGGAGATTGCCTGGTGGAGACCCCCCCAAACCCTGAACACTAGCCCGCATCCCGGCCTCATCCCCGCGCCCTCTATGGCAAGTTCCCCAGTCCCTAATTTCCCCCCACTTCGAACAAGCATACGGTGGCAGCCCCCCCTGTACAGTGCAAACACTCCGAGGACCAAGCAAGAACATACGAGTTACGTACGGTACGTAGAACAAAGTGTAGGCTGGCTCCCCCCGTTGCAAACGGCTTCTATCTGGGTTCCTATTGAAAGGTTGAGCGAAAAGGTCGGGGACTCAGTCTCGTTGCCAATTTTGTGCATTCGGTGCAAGGTTGGGGCATATGGCCCCGTTGGCAATAGGTTTGTATGGCTCTAGCGGCCCGTCTTGAATTAAGCGCTGTGGGAAAACGGCCCTTTACCTTGAGGCCCCCTCGGACATGGAAAATTTTTGCCACGCTCACTCCGCTGCGCGTCTCTGTCTTGCCATGTGGCTCTGAACCTGTTGAACCTGCCATTGCATGCTTGGCACCAGCTCAACTGGTCGTCCCCTCCTTGCTGGAGGGACCCCACAGGTTCACGAGGCTGGTCTCCAAGAAGGCGTTCAACTGGTTGTCCCCTCCTTGCTGGAGGGTCCCCCACAGGTTCACTAGGCTGGTCTCCGAGAAGGCGGCGGCGCTTCGGCTCCCCCGCGGGCTCACTTGGTCGTCGTCGGCCACCCCCGTCTCCGCTTGGTCGGTTCGGTGGCTCCCCCGCAGGTTCGTTTGGCCGTTGTTGGCCGATGGCCTGCCTTCGGGACCCCATGGCCATTGCATGTCTCCCCCTCCTTGGTCTTCTCGTTCTTCGCGGCTGCCTTTCTCCCAAAGCTCCGGTTCCTCCTCTGCAACGGCGTCTCTGTTCGGGCTGTCATCTGTGCTCCCCCAGTCCGGCGGCGTGTCTGAGTCGCTGTGCTCCTTTGTCACACTGCCTCCCGGTTCCCCCTTCACTGCTTGGGCTGGCACTGACTGTTGCACTGAAGGTGTGGAGCTGGTCGCCCCCCCCCGGTCCCCCTGTGCTTGTCGCTTCCGAGTCCTCATCTTCCGTCGCAGCGCCCAAGCGTTTTCCAGAAGCGCCGGCACTTTCTCTGGGAATCTCATCGTGAAAACTCTGTTTTCGGTCGCCACGCGCGGCAACCATTTGTCGACGATGCTTACAAGGCGGTCGGCTTGGTCTCCTAGGCGGTACCGGTGGGATAGCCTCGCCTGATAGGCGGCATATTCCCCCGCCTGCTGTGGCGTCAAGGGTTCCCTCGACGATGCAAGGAAGAGCTCCCCCTCGTCATTGGTTTTGACCTCTTTGTTCACCCACAGGTCCAGCGTGTCTGGCGGGAAAAGCAAATACAATCCCACCTCTGTTCTGAAAGCCGTCCTGGCGTTCAGCGTGCTCTCCTCGGGATTTGCCGCGGGCTCCGGTGGAGGTGTGTAGCTGGCATCCCCCACACGGATATTTCTGCGTTCGGTCACCCCGTGCAAGCGGCATTGAGGATCGCTTCGCACGTGCACCGTGCGGAACCCCGGCTGGCACACTCCCCCGCCGAAGCGGCACAGTCTGCAAGTAGCCATAGCCACGGAAGTATGCTATCTCCCCCTGCAGGCCACAGTCACGACCGTTGAGATGCGGTACTCCCCCACCCAGCGGCGTGGTAGTCCCGGCGAACCTTGGTCACGGTCCTCAGAAAGAGGATGGTGTGGGCCTCTGTCCCCCCCTCGGAGAAAAGGTGCACGAGGTAGCTCTTGCAGTCACTAGGTCGCTCGATAGGCTGGAGTACTGCGGAACTCCCCCCCCCAAAGGTTCCCCTTTGAGCTGGCGTGGATCAGGTCGGTCACGGAGTCGCAGTAGGCACCTTGAGCCAAAATGTCGCTCCTGGCTCGCTCTCTCTTTCTTTCCGCCGGGCATAAGGGTCGCGGTGCGACCCACAGGCCCTAGGCCCGCCCGATCATTCTCTGGACTATGGAGTGATCGGCTTCTGGGGTATTCCTGGCACTGTACGACTAGGTATGCCCTGTTTTCCAAGTTGGTCACCCCCGCCCGAACACTAAACACAGACACAACCCTGGCCTCATCCCCGCGCCCCTCTGGCAACCCGTTGCTCCAACTCGGTAAAGGTTTCGGGCTTCCCAGATGCAGTGGAGCAGCGGAGGCGGAGTTTTCTGTCTCTGTCTGTCTGTGTCCCACTATGTATGCGTCCTCGAACGGACGAAACTGCACAAACACTCTAGATGTGTATGGAAATTCAGCATGCAGTCAAGGGGCGATTCAAGTCAACTGGTGCCAAAGGCATGAGCTGCGCAACCGCATTCTTTAGCCTGCCCTGCCTGCCAGGTCATGCGTTGGTGGTCGAATACACCGGATGTTACAGCAAGGTCAAGCCCGGAAGCTGAAACAATCCGAATCACCAGCGACCTATTACAGTCAGGCATGACGAGTCTGGGAGTAGTCGGCTGGGACTCTTTCTGATTCTGATGGCCTATCATCAGGATCATGCTCGGTTTTGCTTAGTAATGCGATCAAGGCTAGCACGTACTGTGTGTTGCCCTTTTCTCACTCGAGAGGAAAACCCCCTCAAATTTCGTGGCGGCCGTTTGCCAGTCGAGACGTTGCACTCAAGCGTTCCAGGTTTGCCTATCAATCCATTCAGCCAAGTTACCCCGGTTCAGAGTCACGTTCTCGTTCGCAACATGTTACTTTCGTGAATTCGGAATGTGCCCTGCCACGTACTCGTCACACTATGCATTTGCAAGTCGGCAAGCTCACACAAGACGTGGTTCAAGGATCCTTAGGCAGCCATAGAACCGGTCACCCCATGAGTCCTACAGTACGAGGCAAACCAACGCGCCAGAACAAGTTAAACCTGATGGCGGCATCTCGTGTTCTGAGCATTGAATGTATTCTCTCAGAGGGATAGAAGACTAATTATGATACGCTTGCGCCTTTGTTGGTCACGCAGCTCCAGAAACGACTGCAACTGCAACATGGAGCGCTGCTTGACCTGGAAGAACAAGCTCCGAAGAAGACCGGTGCCAACTGCGGATGACAGTGAATAGTGCTGTGTGTTCGATATAGTGCAGTGAGCCTCTTTCAGCTCTGCTATGTCTTCACAAAGCTCATTGAACCTTATTGTTCACCAGGCTCGTCGGGCGAAGGGTGCACCCTTCACAGACGTGACAAAGACGCACAAATTCCGAGGTTCCAGCTCAGCCAATCGGGCCTAGCTGCCAGTCATTTGGAGATCGGAGTCAAACAAACAAGCCGTTGTGCATAGTCCAACATGTCGTCCAGGCTGCTCACGACGAACTAACGAAGCTGTCATGCAACCAGAAACTGTCGTGATCCACCCTATGGTCCACCCTGCCCTAAGTCAGAGTGACTGCCGTACCGGACCTAAATGACTGCGGGGTCAACAGCATAACAGTGCGGCAGCTGGCCTGGCGCCTCCTCTCGTCTTCCAGGATCTCGATCTGCAGCCTCTGCAGCCTTCTCCGAAGCAGGTGTTCAAACTAATATGGCAGCAGCTTCCTCAGAAGAGAAGCCTCCCCGTCTGGAATCCAAAGCCCATCCCGAGGCAGAGGCTTTTCGCGGCAGTCAGCTACAAGCTCCTGGAGGCTTGTCTCTACTTTTCGTTTGTTTCCAGGATAAACACGTTTTCGTACTGCAGCATGAGTTTGCCACGTGAGCTGCGGGGCTGAAGGCGAGAAGATTAAAACCAGGTTTGACAAGAGGCATGGGTACTCAAGCTCGCATCTCTCCTGCGGGGCAGCTTCCATAGGTTCGGAAGGCCTCGCAGAGTCCACGGCCTGATTTTTGCGATGTATTACCCGCACCGCAACCATCACGAACCCTGAAGGCGAAGACCACTTGCACAGCGTCCATCAAGGCCTGGGTGAGAGAATCAACCACCCGCAGAAAGGAAGTGAGACGTCTTGAACAGACAGTTCCCACCTTCCTGTATGCATGCTTCTTCTTCCATGCTGACTCCGCATCTTCAACCTCTGCGGTGGGCGCTGGTGCAAACACAAACACAAACTATTGCTCTGCCGTCGCAGAGTGCAGCCGAGTAGGCGCCTCCATGCGGAACTCGGCGCTGCTCCGAAGAAGACCCAGAAGCTCTTTGTCGGCCTCCGCCACAACGTGACAATGCGGGGCCAAGCCTGGAAGTCAAGAGCCGTCACTTGCCTCAGCAATGCGATGACGAAACTCCTTGACATCAAATAGGGTTTGCTCGTCGAACTGCAGGAGCTCAACCTCGCAATTTGGACCCGTCTGCCACATGGCCGGAACGTGTCTTGGTGAAAGCACCTTCAGCTCTTTGAGCTCAGCCAGGTTGACAGGCAATGCCTTTCGAGGCTCGTCTTGCTAGAGGCAAGGTTTCCCCTTCCTCCCCAACTTTCTCTGAGCCCGAAGTTCTTGCTGCTGGTACACAAAACCCTCGGCCTCCTTCGTTCCGGCTTGATTGAGCAGAGTGGAAGGGCTTCCGACAACGGTGCCACCTGCAAAACTCTTACCCAAGCACCATTCGGTTCAACTGGTAAATCTCGTGGAGCCGCTGTTGCGTGAGATCCTCGTGATCTTTCCAAAACATCGCACTGCTGGGTTCCAGTATGGCGCGCAGTATGCTGGTCCGTCAGGCTGGCCTCTGGGAGGCAAGTTCTCGCTCCTTGCCGGCGTCACGAGGGCATCCCAAGTCAAGGTGTCTGAACAAATCCATAATGCGTCCCCTCTCCTGAGGCTGTTTCCATCAACCAGGAAGCCTTCACAGAACTCATCGGACCCCTTCTTGACTCAGCTGAAGCAGCAAGATCTGAACTCAGTAGAGGAGCCATTGAGCGAGGAGCTTCGCTCAAGACCCGCAGGCCTCAAGGAAATTGGTGCCGACAGACTGAGCATCCCGCTTGGCATGCCTAGAAGCTTTAGCTTGCCAGGTTTCTGGCAGAGGCTCGTCGACGGCGGGCACCTGCCACAAAGTGGGAACACCTAGCTTTAGCCTGCTGACTTGCCGGCGTGTGCTGATTGTCGCACAGCCTGACGGTGACTTTCAATGAACCCTTGCCCAGCATGGCACTTTGTCTTCGGGGCTGCTTCGCCAGCCCATATGTTGCAAGATGTAAGGTGGCAAGAGCCCGTGCACGAATTGGTCCGATGATGTGAAACAGCCGAAATGTTCTGCTTTACCTTTGCAGCTGCCGTGGCCGCTGTGGCCAACTTCTGCTCAAGACAATGCCCCAGCCGCATAGCAGGGAAGTCAACTGAAACAATGCTCAAGTGCTTCAGTACCCCATGGAGAAGACGCAAAGCCTGCCACTAGCACTTCCGAGCAAGGTTTGTACCCACTGCTGCTCATCATCCATTCAACCGTTGCAGCATCCCATGCCACACTGGACCTTTTTCGAACATGTGCCGCAAGTTGTGATCGACACAGTGCCAAACCGTTTGCGGAAGGCTTCCAAACTTCAGGATCTTGCATTCTTCGCCACGGTTCGCTATTCCGATTGTCTTCTGTTCGGAAAGGTGTTCGATTCAGTACATCTGTTATCCATCTGTGTGTTACTTTTTGACAGAAAGCACTGTTCATTCTGTATACCTCTATTGGTCGCCAACTCTGCACATAGTTGATGCACTGCTAATAACCAATTACAGCATCTATGGTGTATCCTGCAGTTCGCGTATCTTGTCCTTTGTCGGTTCATACTTACTAAGTAAGGCTTTTGCTGCTGATTAGAAGTGGTGCCGTGTTGCAAACAGCACCTGGTCCCAACTTGCCGCTGTCTTTGCGCCGGCACTCAGAAAAAGCACGAGTAGTACTAACATGCTTCATGAGGCACTGTAGTGAAGATACTCGGGCGCACCCGAACCTACGAAATTCCAAGCATTGCCGTCTGCATTCTAGCCTGAGATTTTGCGGCAATTTTGCGAGAAGCAAACTTTGCAAGCCTTGCCTTCTCCATTACCGCAAAGCTGCACGCTAGCGGCCTCTGCTTGTAGCAGAATCCGGATCATCCGGTTTGTCTAACATCTATGCCTACGCTTGCAGTGGTCCAAAAGCCACGTTTGTGGCAGAGCCATCTGTCAACCACGCTCCAGAGCAGCGGTGATATTGAAATAGTGTGAGACTTTGAGGGTTATGCTGTGTATTGCTTCCGCAATCTCTGGGCGTGGCACTCCAGCTGCAAGCATCTTTCTCTCTGCGCTGAAGTAAATGCTGTCCTCTTGCACTCGATCGGCAGGCTGCCTACAAAGAAGTGTAGAATCTGAGTGTCGGCTGTTGCAACCTATGGAAATCAGAATTTACCATTGGTTGCGCAGAATCGGGAGACAGGAGTCGAGATGCGACCTGTCACACAATGTACTGGTGCACTACACCACAAAGTCTGCGCCCCTGTGGCGCAACCGCCCTGTCGTCCAAAGTACTCGGGTTCAGGGATTGCCAGTGATTGCCATAATGCTGGCTTGGTTGCTGTTTCATCGACGCATGGTTCTTCCGGCATTGTAAGCCTATGTAGCCCGTGCACTCGCAGGATGTGCTGCATGGCGGGCTCTGCCCAGCAGGATACGCGAAGGCAGCCCGCGGCTCTGGGAAATCCTAACCTCATGTACACACCCCTTTCCCACAGCCTCGGGCAAGAAACTGACCGTGCTCAGAGGCCCTCAGATCCGGCGGGTCAAGTTCGGCATCACTGGAGTTCCCTGAGCCACTGCCGCATGATGGCCGCATCATCTTCCTTAGAAGGCCAGTCGTTACCAAGAGCAGAAAGACCAGATGGACGAACTGTGCTGTCCTAAAGACTCGAGAAGACTGCGACGAGCGTCCGGAAGAGTTTTCATCGGTGCAATGTCCGTCGCATTCTTGAAGCCCTGTGGCGTGGGCTTACCTCTTGGATAGAAGCCGATGTGCCAGTGGAAGTGTCTGCAATCTCGGCAGACAAGGCAGGAGTTTGCGGAGACTAAGGTCGACAAGCTGCTGCTCAGGACAGACCAAGGCCCCAAGGCACGAACTCGAGAGCGTATCTTCTTTGTGGTTTGACCAGTTTTCCACAGCTATGCGGCTAGCGCGCCTGAACGTCTTCTTGGTGTATCAAGCCCGATTTTTGCAACAGTGTGCGCAGTACATGAAGCGCGCATCCATACACCCGAAGAGAGCCTCAACTTCTCCCATTTTCACAGCTGGTGCTGCCACCCCATGTTTCCCGCGCCTTTGACTTCCCCCCTAAGCCTCGCTAAGGCTGTGATAATTGCTGCTGCCGCAGAAATGCTTAGGGCAGGCGCAAAAGCAGGGTGGAATCTCGGAAAGATGATGCGGAAGATGCCAGTAACCATGGGGTGAAACGCCAACATGCCGTTGATCGAACTAATTCGCCCACTTCAGTCCCACTCAACCACGAAGGATGGGGGGACGCGGCAATTGAACCAGTGATCTGCAATTTCGAGCGTCTTTGTTTGGTCGCGCTCCAACCAACCATCCGGCACCCCTTATCACGACTCTTCGGGTTACGGGTACTATCAAACTGTATACTAGGACAAAGCTGAAAGCCCTAGTAGTAAACTTCGTGGAAGCCCTGCTGGATTAAGGCTCAGGTTCACACTCGTCAACTGTTCACAAGTTGAGTGAATGGTTCTCGCACGCTCGAACCCACGCCATGTGTTGGCCAATTGTTCAGCTTCGTACAAAGAAACAGTTTGCAACTACAGCGCTTGTGACAGGCAGCCATCTGCCCCGGAATCCCACCTCAGGGATGCAACCATCGCGCATGGTCTGCATGAGCAGGATATGTGCTGTCTGGAGCGTGCCTGAAGGCTCGAAGCCACGAATCATCTTCGACAACCGTCGGTCGCGTCCACACTGCAATGTTGAAGGGGCAGTCATCCAGCTTGTGGTAGTACCTAGTCGCAGGCAGGGGAGTTCATGCCGGCAGCATCTGGAGCGAGCTGCTTTGACTCGCGCATCATGCGGAGCTCAGAGCCACTCATTGTACAGCAACGCGACGCGCCACTGCAAGCAAGCAGCAACTGAAGCACCCTCTTCAAGACATGAGCAAGGTCAACCAGCTCGTCTTCCGTGGTGGCGAAGAAATCCTCTTTTGAAGCGTCGGGCTGATACCCTTCTGCGATTGCCCTACGACCTTGAATTCCCTTGCGGCTTGGGCATTGGATGGCATTGGGGACCCGTCCGGCGAGTGCCGCTTCGGTGCCAGGTACAGCCGCCAGCGCTCGCGGCAAGCGAAAGGTGCCTCAGCAGCAGGCTGCCGACGCGGCTGTCGAGAAAGGAAGAGCCTTGCGGCTCACGACAATTTCGACAGCAAGGCTGTGCTCCCAAGCCAAAAAGCCAAGCAATGCCTCGTGGCCCCTATGTCTTCTCATCACGAATTCGGATCGCGTTTGGTGCCGGGTATCCGAGACCACGAAGTGCTTCGTCTCGAGGACCAATCGCTCGCTTGCCAGGTCAGACTCGGAAAGTAGGCACCAGTCTAGACTTCGTCCACTCGTCTCTCGAAGCCTCACATCATCTTGCAGTGAAGCCGCACCCGTTGGTGCCGCTACGAGCACCTTCGGCGCTAGGACCGACTTAGCTGGCTCATATCCATCGGGTGCAACAGCCGCACCTGGCAGCCGATACAGGCATTGAAGCGCCGGTGGAGTCGTGCAGCGCGGATGAGCTGCACCTGGGCATTTCGTGTCCGACAGAAAACAGGGAAAGCGATTAGAGATGAGTGAGGCAGCTGAGGAGCATCGACAGAGCTCGGCACAAACGGTGTCGTGATGATTTGCCAGTGAGCGTGAACGATGCTTCCGCACTTATGCTGTTTGAACACCTCGGAGTCTCAGAAGCAAGACGCGACAAGATGCGACAAGCCTCAAAAAGTGGCGAACGTGAAAGCGAAGACTATGGCAGTGCAATTCCTCACCAAACTTAGCCATGAAAACGCAAACGATGCTGCTTCCGTCCACGATTCTGACACGTAGCGAACCAAAGGATTCTGCATCAGCTCTCTGCCCCGGATGACAATTGCCCGCAGCGTCAGGCAAATGTACCTTGAGTTTGACAGTGGCCCCATCAAGAGACGCTTGACACGCAACAATCACGTCTCGACAGATCATGCAGAAAGCGCCAGAATCTCGCCTTCCTTTTGCTGTGAATTTCGCTCCTGGGATCCGAGGGGCTCCTCCTTCTCCAGGGCGGCACACATGTTGTGCCAGGGTGTTTCAATGACCACATCGTTGAAGCCAACACCCGGCACCTGTTGGAGCGTACCCGCCGCAGATCAAACCACTACCCATCCTTGAACTTGGCTTTGTGCTGTTGCTACACGAACCGCCTGCAGGTACAAGGGGTGCTCCACAGCAGGATTGATCATGTTCCCCACCCTGTCTTCCAAAAAGCCTCCCTCGTAGTCGTCATCGTAAAACTCTCGTGGCACGCTCATGCTTGGGAAGAGGTTGCGTACCTGAGCAACGAGCTTTGACCAAGTCACAGTGCTTCTTTTCCTCGTTTCTGGTCTGTGGTGTCGTCGTCTTCGGTGCCTGAGGCATACACTACCCGAACCTGTGCGTGACGGGAAGGATCTGGGCGTGACCAGTCCTGCGCGCAAGGAGATTCTGTCCAGAGAATGGCAGATTTTCTCGAGGCACAAACACTGGTGTTTTGAAGGCGGCAACACTTCCGGGCCATGCGAAGCATAGTTGCAGCTGGATCCACGGATGTGGGTAGGTTCAATCACCGGCGACGGCGACAAGACAGAACGACCGAATGGCGTCCCAGCTCAGAGGTGTCCCGACGAAGCCGGTGCCCAGCAAACGTATCTTCGGCCTGGGTTCATCTTGCCTGTGGTTTCTGTGAAGAAGTATGAAGGAGCTTGTGCCTGATTTCTCGACCAGGCGACATACCAGAAATGATCCTTGAGCGCTTGCCACATTGAGTCGTACTCCGCCTGGGGAGAGGAAGCTTAAAGAGGTCTTCTTGTGCACATGGCATGCGTCAATACGTCAACTCCAACTGCCTCGCCGTTCTTCAGCTCCCTTAGAATGCGAGATGTCTGAGCTGTAGGCTCCAGTCTCAAATCCCAGTTCACCAGATTCGGCCACGCTTCTCAAAACGCAGCACGTCGCCGGCCATGGGTCGCTGAAGCGCGCAGAAGGGACATCCGGAGAGCTGCTCGGGCTCCTCGTGGATTGGCCTCAAGCGGCCCTAGGACAGCCCTAGCTGGGGCCGGGGGCGTGCCGCCGCTAGGGCCGCGAGGGTCTCTAGGGCTAGGTCTTGGGTGTCCCTCAGATCTTCTGAGAAAATCTGACTAAGGAACCTCATCTTCACCTGCTTGCTCTTGCTTTCGGTCTGACGCGGCTTCTTGTCGTTGCCAGTACCAAGCTGGAAATGGGCCCATTTGCCAGTCAGAATGTCCTCAGTTGCTGCAAATTTGGTGAAGTGCTCGTGGCTTCGACTCCGCCTGGATATTGATTTTGGGAGGGACCGAGCTGAATTAAACTTGCCCGTGCTCAATCACCGAGCAAGGACGGTGACTTATATAGGACCCTGGCTCGTGGCATTCACCCACATCAGTTTCGACATAAGATATCAGATCTGAAATTCCCCTGGCCTGCCGCATGAAACACATCGAAGGTTTGTCGCCTTCTCCAGCCTGGACATTGGCCGCTGTGCAAGCTGATAAGCTCACTCACTCGCATCACTCGCCTCTGCGCTTGTGCGTGCGCGTCCGTGCGTCCGTGCGGGCATGCGCGCGTGCGTGCTTGCATGCCTGCGTGTGTGCGTGCGTGCCTGCGTGCATGCCTGCGTGCGTACTGGACTGTTCTGATAAACTCAGAATTCCTGCCCCCCTCAAATGTGAGATGTCTGCACGTGCATGAGTGCGAGAGAATGGAACATCCGAGTTAGCACAGCTGGATGTAGTTGGCATCAGTTGGCATTGTGTAGTTGGAATATGTTGGAATTGAAACCAGGATTGCCAGCATCGTTTGAAAATGTGTCTGTGTCTGTGTGTGTGTGTGTGTGTGTGTGTGTGTGTGTGTGTGTGTGTGTGTGTGTGCGTGGTCGGGTCTGTGGAAGGTCTGTGGCGTCGGGCAATGCTTCAGGCCAAGCTAAAGTGCCCATGAACAAAATCTATGCCACGAGCTGCAGGAAGTCTCGCAAACGCGTGCACAGTGAATATTCACCCGCCTGACGTGCACGTTGGAGGCACTCCTGGCAACAGGGATCTTGCCTTTAAATCCCGGAGTTCACTAAGAGGCCGGGCCTGATGGTATTTCCTGGCACCACTTGCTCCGACAGCTGAACTAGAAGGGACTTAGTTCTTGCGAAACGGCACTACGCAGCACTTGCTGCATTCAGAATGTTTATGTCGGCTTGGCAAAGGTTACGATCATGCTGCTGCCTGCCGAAGGTTTCGCTTGCTTGGAGCTCTTAGATCAGTTTGTAGTCAGGCAAGCTGTGCAGCCTGCAAATGACACCGCACCACCCGTTGGGACATTTTTTGGCTCAGGCTCAGGGTTCGCGAAGAGGTCCTGGGCAGCACGGCGCTCGGCCTCTGCAAGTCGGAAGCTGGCCAGGTCCTGTAAAGATGTTCAAAGCCCTTCAAACGCCTCCTACTTGTGGCACTCTCGGCAGTTGCGCCGCCTTGGCCTTCTCCTTACCGCAGCACAGCCAAAGTGGGAGTCGAAGAAGTAGGTGTGCAAGGCTTGGCCGCGGAGGCGCGGTTTCAGCGCCGTTGTCCATGTGAAGGCCTGGCAGAGGGCGGGAGTCTTCACAGATCTTCTTCCATCCTTCGACCATCCACGCCTAAGATACGACCCTCATCGTGCTCCCGAGTACACGATGACTGTGGCGACTCTGGCGAGCTGGTGTGGCTTCCTCAGTTGTGGGGTTTCCACCTTGCCACTCATGTAAGTTAGAGCGGGAGCGAGAGGCCTACGGGAAACTTGCGTTCGAGACACGCCGCCTGCAGGTTGACATTTAATGGCTTCAAGGGCTTACAAACGATCTTGTGGCTACAGTAAATGTCGCAAGTCGTGTGCTGTTCTTGTTTTAACTCGGCATCGCTGAAAGGAAAGGGGAGCTCGGCAAAAGGAGCCAAGTACTGCCAAGTCTCTCATGCGTGCCACGGCATGCAGTGTACGTCGGAAGCTCCTCGACACGACCTCTTGCAGCACATTCTTCCGGATGTCGGTCTTTTGGGCCGAGAGAGAGGCAGAGAGTTGCTCCATGGCTCCATCTCACATGGGGGTCGCAGCGGCCATTGGACCGGGGCACATGCCCATGCCGTGCAATGCAGCAGCAGAAGGCAACCCCAACTACGCACAATGCAGCATCAGATAAATCATCTGCAATGCAGGCGTTGTGTTTGTTTGTCCGATGCCATAGTCAGTGTCCATCTTTTGCTGCGATGCTCGAAGAGTTATGCTGCTCATGCAACCTGTGCGATGTATTGCCCATTAACATGACTCACACAAACGCTCATGTAGCATCGCTGCTCACATCGGCACAAGGACCAGGCACCGCCATGCGTTTCTTCGATACACACTGGTTCACGAACGCTGAACATGTACATGGCAACAGCAATGATGCGTGGCGGGCTAACAGCAGTGTTGGCAGCCGGCAAACATGTGTGCGACAAATGATCTGGCTCTGAGAGGTCAAGCACCTCCCACATGGCAAGATGATGTCGTCGGAGCGCTGAGCTTGGCGGAGGCATTCTTCGAATGCCACCAAACGCCTATGCCATCAAACCAAAATCTTCGCGTCATCAGACGTGCACCCGAACGAGTAGGAGCCCTTGGGAGAGCTCATTGCATCCAGCGCCTGCTTCTCCTGGGAGAGGGATTTACCCTGGCCCTGACCGTACAAGCTGGAAGCTTGCCAACCCAAAGACTACTCTCCTCGTCCGTGAAATCCCAAGACCAAAGGTCCAAATCCGCAGAAAGATGCTCTGCGCTGGCCGACTTCGTCACAGCGGGAATCCCTCCAACAGGCAGGAACACAGGGCCAGTGACAGTGGAATCTGCGGACATGCTTTCTGCTAATGTGCTTATGGTTCAGCAAGCAGGTTTGGCGCCTTGCGAGACCACCCACTTAAGCGCCACCTGCACAGAGCTTTTTCCATGAGCTTTGGCGATGCTCGTGGTCAAGTTCCCCGTTAAGATCTCTGGACCTGGCAGATGTCCCAACTCATGCCGACTCAACATTTGGACCCTGTAAACTGCTGGTGCAAAGGCACCTGGAGCTTTGCCGAGGCACTAGCTTTGTGGCTGACAGCAGTGTTTCCGAGCACGCTGTAGGCTTGTAGCTGGATTCCACGCTTCTTGTGCCAGGACACTATACCAGCTGGATCTGTCCCCATACCCAGGTGAAGCTGCACCTGACGCAGACAATAGTGGGAGTCTTGCACGGGAGCAAATGGCCTTCAATCTGCAAGACGACGCCTGGTTCACCATGGGGAGGACTGTGGCGGTGGAGTTCAGGCAGTCGTAGCAGCTAGGGCAGTAGTTCGACACTCCGATAGCACGCGCTTTCCCTTGCTTGTAGAACTCCTCCATGGCCTTCCACTGCGCACGAACCATCTGGCAACCACCAGACCAGCTGTTGCATGATCGGGTCACCATTGAGGAGATGGGGGGGAAGTGAACGATGACCAAATCGACGTAGGAGAGATTCAGCTTCGCAAGATCTAGCTCCAAGTCCCGCTTGGTGTTTTCATAGCATTTGAAAACATTCAACATCGTGCTATCCATGCCGCACCCCGGAATCTTTGTCTCAACAAAGATCTTCTCGCGCATGCCTGCTTCGTTGATTGCACGGCCAACACCCTCTTGGTTGTGATAGTCCAAAGCCGTGTCCTGAGTCTGACAAGGAAACTCTTAAACTGCTTGTATGTAGAACAACCTCCGGCTGCCTCCATAGATAATACGTAACTATGCATGCAGTCAAGCTGGTCGAAACAAGCAGCGAGCATAGTGAACCCAGCTTTGAGTGCAAGCGTGTGAGACTGGTAAGCCTCTGAAGTGTTGTACCTCGGTTTTTTGCTGAAAGCTGCCATGTGATGCGGGGCGGACTAGCTGTCGACATGCCCCTCTGTGCTTCGATGCCGGCGCGGTGCTGCCAACACCCTGCCGCTATCATCGGCATCTCCTCGGCGCAGGATCGCTGACAGCGCCGAAAGATGCTGAAGGATAGACAAGCCCAGTCTCCACACCATTCCAAAGTTTCGTGGTGGGTGGCTTGGCTGTGCCGAGCTGGGCAGCCAATGCCAGGACGAGGGCCCACATTGTTGCGCCGGCTTTGTCCGCCAACGATTGAGCTTAACGGCTGCGCAAAGAATGAGTCTTACGCTGCACGTCCTGCTCCTGCACTAAAACGAACCGGAGCCTGTGTAATGGTTCGGGGGAACTGAGACCTGACCCCATCCTTTACAACGTTCTCTTATGCTTGGCTGCTAGTGGCTGCTAGTGGCCACTGGCAAGGCCGGGCCTTGCCAACGGCTCCAGCCGGAGAGCTGCCAGCTGTGCTGCGGGCCCATCCCGGAATCAGCCACTCACGTGGGAAAGGGATGCTGTGCTTCCTCGAAGAAATTGGATCCAAGTGTTATTGGTCATTGAACGAAGCATGTTGGCAGCTTCACTATGTGCGAGTCTGTAGACCACATCGAAGCCAAGACTCAGCCAAAAAAAGCAACGTGCTTGCCCAACTGTGGAGAAACAGGCTTCCGTAGGAATGGAGATACATGCAGACATGCATCCCATCCACAGCCTGGGCATCGTGCTCACCGGAAACGCTCACCTGCGACAACAGCACCTGCCAGCTTCTCGGCGTGGTGTTGCGTGTTCTGACAGAACACAACGACGCTTCCTCCGTCTGCTGAAAGAACTGTGATCCGAACTTAATTAAGTTGGAGGCCTGCCGGTTTGGCTTTCAAGACCGCTGCTTTTCAGCATTCACTCCACAACCTGACAGAACCACAGGCAATCGCCTCGAGCCGCTGGAGTTGAAAGCCCGATTCCAGCTCTTCAAGGCCTCAGTAGATTTCGGAGCAGATTGAGGACCGTCTGGCTCCGCATAATACAATGCAAGTCTTAGTCCTGCAACTTCTTGCCGCGGAACTCCCCAGGCCCACGTCAAAGCGCAGCAACACGCGGAAGGCGGCGGCGCCAAGTTGCCTCGGCCCCAAATCTCGGAGACGACACACATCCCATCAAAGGATTTCGATGTAAAGTTGCATAGTTGAGCCGTACCCTTCAACCGGTTCTCTCAATGGACAATTTTCCCATGCTCCTCAGTGTTGCGAAAACGAGCGTGACGCACTACCCTCAGGTTTGGGGAGCGACAGCCAGTGTAGGACAATGGCCCATTGCGGCGTGGAAGGCGCAGATGCTTCTTGCACCTGTGGAAGAGACTTAGCTCACGTTCGCGCGAGCACGACTCGAGCTGAGGGCTGTTCTGGTGCAGATGGTGTGAGATGTCCTCGAGATCCATCTGCAGCCTAACTCCGCCAGGAGAGGCCGGGGCTCTCTTTCTCACTTCAGGTGTAAGCTCGGCACAGCTGGTCCTCCAGAAATGCTAGCAAGCTCGCACCTTGAACAGGAGTCTTCATAGAATGTAATGCCAGGATGTGGTGGACCACAAGCTGTTGCAGCTCCCACATAGTGGAACTCCAATCTTCAATGCTCTGGCCACCGGCCTATTCGGAAGACGGCCTGGCAATTGAGCAGGTCATTACCTTACATCTTGCCTCCCAAGAACGTCGCCTTCCAGCCCTGAAGGAAGAAAGCATCGTAGACAAATGCAAGAAGACCTGGCCTTATAAGTGCGAAGCCTCAAGTACACTCAAGTGGCGGCCGTTTAAGCTGCCCACTCCAAGCTGTAGGAGAAAAGTGTTAGCACCTGGCTACCGTCAGGAACACAGTGCATGACCTGTAGGATGTACTGGCGGGCAGACACACTGGTGAGCAAAAATCTCCAAGGAATGCCCATCCTGCAGGCAATGCAGCCGCAGCAACGTCGCACACTTACACTCTTGGTTCTTGCTGCATGGCTCGTGGTACAAGACTGGAGTTGCTCCCAATCATGCAGTCATCCTCTCGGAGGTGTCGCCATAGTCTGGGCAGGCATCTCTGCACGATGCCGGCAAACTGGAACACACGAAGCCTCATTGGTGACAGCAGTGCCCGACATCGGATGCTTACGGGCCATGCAAACAGTACGCAAACCATGCACATCCTTTCTGACAAAAGCGTTCATTTGCAGGCACTTTGCTGTGGCAATAGAGTCCCCGACGGCAGGAGTGGAACCTGAAGGCTGGCGCCACTAGCGGTTTGCGAGGTGGGACCTTTCTGCCACAAAAAAAATCTGAGGTCTTCGCTCCGGGAGCGAAGACGAACCTGTAGTGATAGCCTGGGGCGGCTTGGGCGGGCACAGCAAGGCATGCCTTTTGCAGGTCATGAGGCAGCAACTTTCCAGCAGAGCGAGCAGCATCCAAAAGGCATCGCTCGCTGAACCGAGATGGATTAGCCTTGAGAGGTCGGTCTTGAAAGCTTCATGAGCAGCGCAACCGCTCGCTTAAACCTTGGGGCATGTCAGGGTGGCTGCCACGAAGTTCATGCCCTGGCAGTAACCAACGTTGGGCCTCACATGCGATGTGAGATTTCACAGACAGTGAGACGTGAGACAAGAGCCAGGGCTGTAGTTGTCGACATGCGATTCTGGTTCCACCAAGCTGCTCTGCGGTGACTGTGGCCTGAAGGACCTGGCTCTGCCCAATGGGCTGGAAATGTCCCTATGTGACCGTGGGGCTGTTAAGGAACCTACTCTCCGGCAGAAGCCCTCGTCGTGAGACAAAACGGAGAAAGCAATCATTGGAGCAGGACGACCAAACATCCCTCAGCTGCCCATGAAGCCAATTTCTCTTTGAATGCCTGGAGTGTCGAGACCCCTTCCACCGACCTGCTGCAGCTCCGCTCTGCCTTTGGCACCTTCTGCTGCGACACTGGGAGGAGTCGAAGTCGCTGTAAAACGCAGCTCGTCTACCCTACTTTGAGATACACCTGGGCTCATGACACGTCTACAATCTTCTACATGTCTCTAGCATCCTGCTGTGGTCCCACAGGTGTGCCTTCCTGGCCCTCGAAGCGCTCGTGGCTTGGATAGGTGCGGTGGACATCGCGCTCGATCTCGGATATCTTCGCTTGTGACCTTGGTGCTTTCGCGCGGAGTGTTCAACATCGCTGGAACAAGTCCTTCTTGCCAAGTCTCCGCCTGACCCTCGTCCGAAGATTTATATACAATCGGTTTCTGATTCTGTTGAACGAAACCATCCCTCGAAAAAACGTCTTCAGTGCCGTGAAGAAAGAACCTCCAGGTGTCCCCGGCAGCGGCTTCTTGAGAAGCGCTTCGAAAGCCTCCGTGGCCGAGGCAACGCCCAGCTCGCGCTGGTAGCCTTGCATTGACTCTCAAAAAATGCTTGAGAAACAGCTCTACGAATTTCAAATCGGACAAAGCATCCTATGCGGTGCGCTCCTTGGTTTGAGCCCGGCTTACCAGAGCTGACTCGATGAGCTACCTGCATCACATCCGATAAGCTTACCTCTGCTTTAAGTATACAAATTAACGTGAAAAACCAGACCGACCACCTGTACAACAGTTGTTCCAGCGCGGCACTCGACAAAGTGCTAGCAACCATCTCAGAGCATCCAGGAGCCCAAGAGTCACCAAACTGAAAATCAATACCGTGGTGCTCCGCCGGGACTTCAAAACATAATTGAACGTACGTGTAATGGATTGCTTGCCATGCGGTTGCCTGTAAACAGCATGTGCTGCATAGCCCACGTCAAGAAAATAGATGCGAAGTTCCCTCTCTGCTAAATTGCAGGGGTGCAAACCATAGGGCACAGGCCACTGCTACGCTGTGAGTTGTGCGGCTTTGCCATGCCCGGTGGAGTTGCCCATGTGGGGGCCGTTGCTTATCTGGTCACCATTCTGCGCCAGGAACAAAGGCGGATTCTCGCGCAGGTTTAGACGGAGGAGCTTTGCGAGGTGAAGGCACATCCCCACCCTTGGCTGATCCGTTTGCTATGGGCCGCCAGTGAGACTTGGCCGCCGTCCAGAGCAATTTCCAGTAGGTTGGGGGGCCTCTGCCGCAAGGCGCCACGGGCCACGGTGTCTGCCGTCGTACAGCAAGCCGAGCGGGCCTTGGAAGTACCCAGCGACGGCCGAGCAGTGATGAGGCATATGGTTGCTATGCGCGGCCTGCGATGCTGGCGGTAGCCAGCTTACTGTATACGAGCCCAGTGGTCAAATCCTGTGTAGACCTGGTGCATGTGTGCGCGGAGTGGCAGCGGCCTCTCTTGCAGGTGGCAGGAGGACTGACGGCCCTCAAGGTGGCCACGGCTAGGAGTCAGCAATTTCATACCGCCGTTTTGGCGGCAGCCTGCTAAGGCCGCGCAAGCCCAGGCGGCATCATCGCGGGCGCTTCATGCGGCATCTTATATTGAGTTTGATTTCATTTGGTCTGAAAACAAGCTGCAATGAGCGGTTTTGCAGGGCAAGCATCGACCGTCCAAAACGGCGAGAGCAACTCGGGGCTTCAGGACCCATCGGCACAGTCTTTGCCAGGGCAGGCCGCACATCGCGGCTTCTTCGGATGTTGATGCGTGTTTAGCAGTCGAGTGAAGCTGAGAGTCGAGCGTTGCTCGATATTCTGCACCTAAGCCACTCCAAACAGCGAAAGGAAGCTTCCCACAAGCGCGAGCTTGCAGTGCCGAAGCGTGCAGAGCACTGAGAGCTATGCGGCCGAGAGGTGTCGCCACAGGGCTCGCCGCAGGCTTGCCGTGACTCCACCTCGATCCCCAAACACTTTCAACAACCCACGCCAAGACCTATCCCAAATGCGCGTTAAGCCGAATTACAATCCTGAGACCTGTGGCGCATGGTCAATCGCCAGTGCCAAATGAGCTTTCGCCTTCTTGTCACCCGTCTGGGGCTTCAGGCCATTGAGGATGGACATCTCCATCCACTGCTCTTCTCGGGACAGCCGGTGCCAGCGCTTGCCTGGTCTAGCTTTGTGTATGCTCCTAGAGAGCCTTGCCACGCAAGGCTTTGACATTTTGACATGACGCTGACGTCTGAGAGGCCGCTTGGCCCCTGACACACAGCATCTGCATAAAGGACGTCCCGCAAAGTTGCCCATGGACAAAAGCATGTCCGCAAGAGCCTGGAACATCAGAGCTAGAATTATAGAGTCATCCGCCCACTGCTCGCGGTGAGGTCCCAGGCTCTGCTCCGCCGTGTTCGAGCAGGTGAACGGAGTAACGTCGAAGCGAAGGCTGCGAAGGCTCTGAGCCTCTCTCTTTGGCATCCTGGCGCAATCTCTCAGCTTGTCATCCGACATTCTTCCTTGAACTGCCAGCTACTTGTTACTCCATCTTGTCGTCGGACCTTCGCGATGTGACACGTCTCTGGCACAGAATCTGTGGCCTCGCAGGGCAGCTCTCTGCGGATCCGATCTAGTGGCATCGAGCTTGTGGAGGTACCAGAAACCCAAAATCCGGCTGCTCGTGTCAATCTACTGGACTCCCACGGTGAAGTTCGATGACAGCTTCCGAAAAGTTCGCACAGCAAGTTCACGGACTCCCCAGGTCAGGTCCAGGCTTCCGTTCCCAGGAAGGCAGGAGTTTCATCAGCCTCGTGCCACGAGGGGTTATGTGCAAGCCATGCTCCGGTGTTCGCAGACACCAAGACCCCGGCAGTGACCTGGACAGCTCCTTGAAACTGCTGCTTCAAATGCATGGGCTTGCAGGACAACAGTGAAGCGTAAGCCGTGCAAGCCTCGCAATCCACCCTTCTGTGAGCTAACGGTCCTTGGCCCATTGGGGGCCTCGCCCATTTGTCGGGCTGCAACACTCTACGCCATGCTTACACAACCTGCTGCAGCCTAGGTCACTGGATGTACTGGTGCACAGCAACATGTCAGGATGAGGGCAGCGGGATGGTCGTAATTTGGCTGCAGGCAGTAATCAATCCGAGCTAGGAGTCTCTTCTTCGGTGTCCTACTGCACCATATCTGAGTGTAGGCCGAAGACATGTAGCAGCCACGATCAAACACCATCGTGCTGGACATGGCCAACAACAATCACGGTTACACACTGATACAAGCTGACAGCCGACAGAAGCCACAAGATGCAAGGCACTTTTGTCGGACGAGCAGACTTCTCGGGCATTGCGGCATTCGAGATGTGCTGAAGTATGTACATGGATGTGTGCCGCCGCACAGTCATCATAGCCACTCGTGCCGCACGCCGCCTCGCCCAGGGTTTCCTTAGATTCTCAGCTGTGAGCTCGTATAGCCTCTCTAGTGCTGGCACTTCTCTTGGTATAGTCAGTCTTGCACTTGACGTGCGCCCTGTAGGCCGCGAGCGACGTGGTGGGGCCATCGGTGGGTAGGCCGCTGAGAAGTGCCTCTAAAATATGAAAAGCTGCATGATGGAACGCTTCAAATCAGTGCATTCAGTGTAGTGTTCCATTCACTACAGTAGAGCCAACTTTAACTATTCGTCGTGATTTGAAGAATGTCTCCGTAGCACTGCAAGATCCCTGAAGTCAACCCGTCTTCGCTGGGCAGAGGAGGAGTCCAGGACTGGAGTTCTCCCGAAAGGATTCGGCTCTGCTGGGGACCACGGCTGTGCTGCGGCGGCGCCCAGGCCGCTGCGGGAGGCTGGGGGGACATCCTCGGTGCCTCAATCGAGCTTCAAAAGAGTCTTGCTCTGCTTCGCATCATGACAACTTAACCAACTTCGGCGATGATCGTTGCACTGCAAAATCCGCAAGTTTCTTGTTGCAGAACTCCTTCCCCCTTGCGATTTCAACGCATCCCGTGCGAGACATTGAACTCTGGGTGGCAAGGATTTCCGCCTTCCGGGCCTTCTAAACGACAGGCACCATCCCTGGAGGTTCCAGAGTTGGAGTTGCCCAGCTGGCGCCAAGCACCGCGCCTTGGATGCAGGGAATTCGAAAGTGGTGCCAACGCGAATCCATGCAGCAGCTACTGGCTGGTGCAGCTCCAATACCCCCGTCAGGAAGGCCACGGACCCCAACCTGGGCACCCGGCAACGCTTTCCGCTGGAGCTTTGCCAGGCCTTTGTATCATAACGCTTTCAGTCGGCCCTTGATAAACCCCAGACCTGGCAGTTCTTTTGCCACAGCGCCCGTTGTTGCTTTGATTTGCCACGCCGGCCACAGCCTGGCCACGGTGGCCGCAGCTTCTGCGGCCTCGGCGGCCCAGACCGCGGCGCTGAGGGCTGAGGCATCAGCATCTGGAATCCGGCCTTGGATGGGGCGGCACCAACTTAGTGTGCGTGGATCTCGCACAGCCCCTTCGTAAAGCAAGAGACCCACGCACAGCCAGACGCAAAGGAAAACAATGCTGTCTAGTGACATCTCACCATATGAACATACAGCTTCGCTGCCAACTCCCAACCTGACAGTACAAGCTCGGCACAGAATGTGCGACTTGAGATTGCGAGATTTGCCTGGAAACTCGGGCTCGATATGCTCCACACCAACCGTGCGGCCAAGCAACATAAGCCGTGGCCGGCCATGCGAATCGGAGAGCGGTAGCTCTTTTGGTCTGAGTGAGCTCTTGCCTTCTTGTCGGACAAAGTGCTCTCATGCGGCGCAAGCCTGCCTTCCCAAACCCTGCCTCTTGGAGCTCATGAAGCAAATGCAAGCATCTTGTCCACGTCTCAACATTTTCAGAGCACCTGACTATCGGTTGCTCGTGCACTGTCCTTTCCTTGCTTGCTTGCGCTGTCTTTCTTTCTCTCGCCCTCTCTTCTTGGCTCGGGGGAAGAGACACAGGCAGTCCCGGACCCCACTTCGCACATCCCCTTCCCTGGCTAAGCTGTAAATGAACGTGCGTGCCCAAGTGCCAGCGTGTGCTTGTTCGCAAAGGCATGTCCCCCGAGTGTGTCTGTCTTTCCCGTTTGCTCGTTCGCTCGCTTGCTTGCGAAACGTTGGTTGGGGCTTGCGCCTTGCAACTCTGCGTAAGAGGGCTGCGCCTGAAGTCCCAGATCTGTGCTTGGTGCCGCGAAAGGGTCCCGGCGCTTGCCTATTACCCTGTGTCGGTGCCCCCTTTCAATGAGAATAGACCGCCATAAACCGCCGCACCTGCTCAAAACCGACTTCTGCTTTTGCGTGGAGGAACGTCTCCCCACGTTCCAGGGGCAAATGTGACACACAGGAATCAGTACAAGGGAACGTCTCTTAAGCATCAATTTGCACACGGGAGGAATCTTCAGCACCCAGTCTGCTAAGCTTCGACTAAAACACTGTCACTTTTGCGCTCACCGCTCACTTCCACCGCATCGGCCCCCAACCGCTGTCATGAAACTATGCTTCTGTGTCCAGCTAATGATCTTCCCCCTCCAGCCCAGAAGGTCCTTGTGGTCTTGAGCAGGGTCGTCAAGCAACAGGTCGCCAACAAGTTGAGGAACACCTTCAGCTGTGGTCACCCTTCGGAAGCAACGTGCTTGCTCTTTGAAGAAGCGGCGTGATGCTCCTGGCTGGGGATCTTGTTCGCCTCGTCCAGCAATCACGCTGAAAGAAGTTCACAGGCAGTTGCGGGCAAGCGCCTGCGCTCGACAGCCATTCGTCCACCCCATAAATTCACCGGCCCGCTGCCGAGCGGATCTCACACGAGAGATGCGGCGAATGACTTGAGCCAGAATGGCTGGTCTCTGTGTTCTGGTCCATTCTGTTCTCTGGGTCAAAAGGAGCTTCTCAGCTGCCCCCCGTACCGAAAGACGCACCCCTGTTTAAGGGCCTTGTAGGGAAGGGTCAAAACAGCGAGAAATCTTCCGCGCGAAAGAAGACATAGTTGCGAGGCTTTCTTAAAGAAGCGGTACCACGCGCGGACTGCCATGTCTCTTTTTTCAGACGGGTAGGTGAAGTTCTTGCGCATGCAAAGTGAAGGTAGCCTGGGATCCACGAAGCAACACTCAGCAGCCCGAATGAACAAAACCAATAGCCACCTCACTTGAAACACATCGGTCCTCAGATTGAAGCCATCCGTCTCGCACTAGTGTAATCTCTTGCTCGCCTGCTTGCTAAACGGTATCGGGATGGGACCGGGGCTACATGCAACCCCTTGGCCCGGAGGCCTACCCCCTCCCGGCTCGCCAGTTCCATTGTAAGTTCAACCCTTTCCGCAGAACGAGTTTGGTTTGATGGCCTCCCGCTATAATCCAAAAACTCCGAGGAGTATGAGGGGGGCCTGGAGGGGGGGCTTGTAGTCTCGGGCCCGCACCCCCCCACCACTAGTACCACTGGTTGCAGGGAAACGTCTTCTCCAACACACACAAAGGAGAGCCACACGAAAACGCTTCAGGGGTGTAAAAGCCAAGAAAATACAATTGATCATGAATGGTTTGGAAGCTCTGCAAATGGGGGGCAGGCCCCAACTCCCCGCTTTTTTTAGAATGGAAACTACCGGCTGTCTTAAGCGGCGAAGACATGAATAAATCCCCCCCAAAGAGACCCCCCAAAACTACAACCACCCCCTTATACTTCACCCAAAAGGATTATGAACCCCCCCCTCACACGTCGTCCACTTCCAAGGCCCCCTTATATATAGTCTTCCTAAATCCAGGGCTTTAAGCCCCCCCAAGCCCCCCCTGCGCGCTATCCAAAAGCGTCTGCGGGGCACGGTGAATACGTTCCTCCGAGTGAGACCCTTACAAAAAGCCCGAAGGCGTGCGACCCCCACCTCTCTCTCTCTCTCTCTGGCTGGCTCCCTCTGGCCGTGGGTGGTGGCTGCTTGTGGCTTCGTCCGCTGCTGCTTCGGTTCTCCAGGACGTGTGGAGGGTTGTTGCTTGTGCTCGGGCATGCCGGATCCCCAGCATCGGGATCGGCCCCTTCACTGCCTGGGCTCGCTCTCTTCTTCAGCACAGAGCGGTCGTGAAGCCCCTCGCGCGATTTCGCTCTGGGGGATTAGAGGGAGTGAGCCCTCTCTTTCTCTGGGTTTTACCCCTCTCTTGCTTTGAAGGGCAATGCGGACACATCACCCTGCGCGCGAGCGCGTCCCGAAGTCCTTTAGTCTTTTCTCGGCCCCCTTCAGAATGAGGCACGAGGTCTGCACCGAAGATCCTCCCATTTACTGGAACACTAGCAAACCCCCGTGCCTCATCTGTCGCTCTCTCTCTCTCTCTCTCTCCCTCTCTTCCGCCAGCATCCTGGCCCCCATCCCGTGTCACTCCCCCGGCTGGTTGGTGGCTCGTAGAAGGTCGCGAGGTTCCGCCGCTCCGGGCTGGATCTGCTTCTCGCGCCACACGTAGCACAGCTTGGGAGATAGTGAGCCCTCCCCCAGTCGGTGCCATAGCTGAGGACGATGAGGCTCCCCCGGCTTCGCTTCTGTCTGGTTTGGTGACTCTTGAAACTCCGTGCCTGGTGGGAGCTGCTTTTTCCGGTCACCACAACTTGTCGTGCTCGTTTCTCTTGCAACTTTTTGGCAAAGCGCTCGGCCGCTTTGGTTGCTTTCCCCGAGACTGCAGCAGGTGTGGGGTCCTCTTCCACCAGGACGGTTTCTTCCCCCACTGCACCATCTAAGTCTCGCAGAACTCTAGCATGGAGCTGCTCAGCCGCTGTCTTCTCATCGGTGGGCTCCCTTGGGTCTGCCGCTCTGTGCTATTCCCCCTTCTCGTCACCAGCGGTGTTGGAGCCGTCTACAGGCACTCCCCAGATCTTGCAGAGGTCTTCTATGGTCTTCTCTGGACATATCCCCAAAGACGGCTTCT